TGCCAAGCGACGAAAACCCAACCCCGATGGCAAACACCGGGGGGGGAGTAGGGGGGCGGTCGAAAATTCGCTTTGCTTCCGGGCCGAGCAACCTTGAGACAGTTAACCCCGCAACAGGGAAGAAGTGCATTTGGGTGCGTCGTTCTCTGGCAACCAGCGACCGCTTGACGGGAAAAAATAAGAGGGCACGTGAATTCAAATACGTGATGCATACCCCCACCCCCACCCACCCACCCACCCACCCACCCATTTTTCAGGCGCTTAATCCAGTTTGGTCAAGGCGTTTATTGTATAGGACTTAAAATAGCTATAATAAAGCCTACATAATCCATAATGTACAGGCTTTAGTGTGACATTCTAAAACCCATCTAATTGAGAGGTGAATATGACCACACCAAATCCTAGACCTTCTTTGTAGGCCCTTTTAGCAGCAGCAATGAATGAATGAATGTGGTCCTCCTGCAACTAACAGCACAAGGAAGTGTACAGCAAGCAAGCACCCGGTCTGCTGTTGTTCCCTACAGAGAAGACAGGGTTCACAGCAGCAGAAGCATCATGTATATGTAGGTTTTACTATCGACTACATCTACATGCAATGTACCCAACACAGCAGTGGTCAAACCTACTTCAAGAAGTAGGTAGTAAGAGAAGTGTAAGGTTTCCAATAGCCATGATCATACTATATGCTATAAAAAAGAAAATGTATCGGTTACACTATACCACACTAAATCCTACCATGGTATACAATAAGGCCTATACGATATATAACAGCCCCCCTCACCCCCCCACCCCTGATTTGGTGCTTAATCCAGTCTTGGGGTGTGCATCACGTATTTGAATCCACGTGCCCTCTTGGAAAAAAGGTAAAAATCAAGGCCCCTGAAAATATAGAATTGTAGAAATCGCAAAAATTAACACTACAGTATTTCTTGATCCTTACTACCACGAATTCTACTACTCTTCAACAACACCGACAACAACGGGCACGAATACCACAATTTCGAACACGATGGCAACGACGACCAATGTGCATACGAGCCTGTGAGCGAGCGCATGCTTGCTCTCACCTCTTGGGGAACCCTTGGTAATTGAGCGGCGAAGGGTAAGCCCCCCTCTCCACCGCCGCCTCGTGACACACGCGGTCGATGTCGTCCGTCGTGGCGCCCACTTTCACGGCCTGCCCGGCTAGGTCCAACACCTCTCTGCAAACGTCGTCAACGAACCACGGAAGTGTGCCGCAAAGCATTTGGTGGCACCAAATGCAATACGAAACAAAGAAAAGTGATGGGGTGGAAACAGTCAAAAAAAAAAAAACGCGAGCGCGACAGGAACGAGGAGTGTGCCGCAAAGTATTTGGTGGAATCATCTGAAAACGAAAAAAAAAAAAAGTGTGATCATTTGGAAACACTAAAAAAACAGCGGGCGCGACAGGATCGTGGAGGAAGATGGTATCGAGGATCGGGTGAAATGTTCGGCCTGGGGGGTTTGCCCGCGGAGCGCGGGAGCAGTTGCGGTCTCCGCCAGGCCAAGCCCGACGACATACATAGCAGCCTCGCCACGAAGGAAGAGTTCCGCGACGAACGTCACCATTACAAGCCGAGGCAAAACGATCGAAAGACGAACAACGTCAAAAGAAACAGGAAACGAAACAAGAGACAGAGGAGAAACGAAGAGAAAGAGCGACAAGACAAAAAAAAACGTTCGAGTCGACAAAGCGTCCTCCGGTTGTTGTTGTTGTTGTTGATGTTCACCCGTTCATCTTTTGTCGATCGAAGGTTCCCCCTGCAAGTGCTGTAGCTTTCGAGACTCATAAACTGTGCAAGAAAACCTGCCGCCGCGAAGGACACCCGCAAGACACGTCGCGACGCCCACCCCAGCCGCCGCCATCGCGGCCGCGATGCCGTGCTTCATTCCATACGTAGGTCTGGCCATCATCGACGCAAGCACCTGCAGCGACACCACTGCTGCCAACTCATCTCCAAACTAAAAGCATAAAATGTTCCACTGGTGTGAACGATAAGATAACGTTGGAATCGCTGGGAAACGGAAATCGACGTGGACACGTCAACCACGACGACCACTACAGACCCAACGCCTGTCCTTCGCACACTACACTCTATTCTTGTGAACGACACGTTCGCGTTCAACGGTAGCAAACAAACTCTGGAATAACTCACCTCGCGACCTTCCCCGCTGCCTTCATGGCCGCGATATCGGCCTCGTTCTTAACCTCGATGACCCACGGCAGCATCGGGCTCTTGCCCTTCGGGATGCCATCCACCGCGTAGTCAGGCCTGCCAATCTCCGGCGGCACCTGCGTGGGCATGCCGAAATTCGTCAGGTCTGAAAATTCGTTCACCGTTCTAAATGTACAGTGCGGAATAAAAAGGTTTCATTGGCAGCGTTGGACTCCGAAAAACATGAACCCCACTTCCGCAGAGGTCCCCCGAAGACACCCGCATGATCCATACCGGTTTATCCTTTCCACAACCCCAATCGTTCATCACGGGAGCTGCGACCAAATGAAAGGGGCCGTCCAGACCTCCCCAGACGACACAATCCAGCGTCCACGGGTGGACAGATACCTCGGCCTGAAAAGGTCTAGACAAAGCATGGTCTAGGCAAGTAGTCTCTCTGTGTTTGTATTTATATCCCGCCCCTCCCAACACAAACGGCTGCAAAACAACCATATTTTTGACTCACCGGCCGTGTTGGGCTCAGGGTCCCCGGCCGGAGCTCCCCCGTGTAGGCGAAACCGCTCCGCCTGGAAGGCTTTTTCCTCGGGGGTTTCTTCTTCGCCACGCCGAAACCCTTGTTCATGAAGAGAGTCCCTCGTGCGTCTGGTAGGTACCGCGGGTGGGTGGATGTGTCAGGCGAGAGCATCGACAAGGGACAGTAGTGGCACAACAAACGTGCACGGCATGGATAGTATGGCCAACACTTAGGGTGTGGGAAGTCGAGCTGAAACATCACCGCGCGAAAAAAAACACGACGGCCGTGCTAAGAGAGGCAAGGAAGATAAAGGGTGCCGTGGACCCTCTGACCGGTGGTATCAGACATGTGCGCTCGTTCCCCAGCACGCGCACTCAGCGGGGAAAAGCGCCACAGGTTTGGGCGACACAATGGGGTGAGGAGTGCTCTGGCCGTAAACCATGACCTCTGCCTGACACAAATATAGGATTAGAGCCGTGGGCGCAAGCGACCACTTGATAACTTTTGGCATTTCCGATTCCCCCGCAACGGCAGGCGGGGTGCGTCCACGGCAGCAGTAGTCGTTCCCTAGGTTGAAACACCCCACTCGAAAACCCAACTTCCCAACATCTTCCTTGCACACCCCTCCCAACCCATCCAATCCGATCGACAAAGCCACCAAATAGTCTTGTTCGAGACTGCTGTGTTATGCAACCACAAGGGGGATATTACTGATGTCATGCTGCTCAGAGAGTAGTAGAAGCACAGGTTGGCAAAGTAGCAATTTCAAATTGATGCTTTCTCTCAGACCGAAACGATCAAACGGTCGAACAACACAGCAGTGGGCACGTGGGGATTTCAAAGCTTGCATTCGTTCTTGGAAACTACCCTCCACGACGAGGATGAAAATCGCCACGAGATACGAACAGACTCCTTTCGAAACGCGAAACACAAGCACGGTGAACCGGCGGCACGCCAAGTTCTTCCCAAACTGGGAGATGTGCCCGCACTCGTCTCCTAACTGCTGTAACCAACACTGCTGTTGTCAGCAACACTTCAGGGCGGCCATTTGTCGTTATCGTAGGGGGCAACAAGTGGAGTCATGTCCCAGAATGTGCTATATAAAAGAAAGCTAGCTGTGGTTGGCAGCGCGCAGCGTGGCCGTTGGCGGCCGTCCCGAAACAAAGGCTGCGAGTAGAGGTGAATAGAGTAGTAAATAGCGGATGTGTTGCTGTTGCCGGCTACCGAGGTAGACTAACCGGGATTATTCTTGGGAGAAACACGGGCTGCGAGTACAGGTTGCGGATGTACTGCTGCTACAGAGCGGACCAGAGGTTGCTTGAGAGAAGGAAGCGGGGCTTTGGGGGAAATAAATGACACAAAGTAGTGCCGCAAACGGTTGGAGCTGCGTGGCGGAGTGCAGGGAAGATACAGGACAGACATACCAGGGCACGGTGGTCCATGTGCACCAACCAAGGTTGAGCCAAAAGTTACACCAAGTCTAGACCCCCATCTTGCGCCTATCATGCACCCCTTCTGGGCTTCAACCGCCGGCAGGCATCATGAAAAAACTCCGAAGATCATGACCGCAAACACCGTAGCACGTGCACAGCAGACGCGATTCAGAGTAAACAGGAGGTTGTAAGCACCACCACCAACAGCTTCTTGGTAAGGGGGGGCGCCATCGAATCCATAGCAGGCAGCAGCAGCACCAGCAGCACCAGCAGCAAGACGAAACCATCCCACCTGCTGTTCTCGATTGACAGTTGCAGTGCCCCTGAGGCATCACCCCCGGCGTGACGAAAGCACTTTCATGGGCCACCCCCCTTGCCAAAGAGAGAGTCAGCAGGACAAGCGGCAACATGATGGTTATCTTCCTTTCGCCGGCCGCACGTGCTGCGTCGCTGTCATGAACAAGAGCGTCGTGCACAGCGCCAGGCGCCAGGTCGTCGAGCTCGAGGGGGGAACGCATATGGAGCTCGTAGATAAGACTAGGGTAGGGCGGTGTAAAAATTGTGCTCTCGGGTGCCCCCGCTCACGGGACTGTCAGATTGTGGATTCGCGGGTAGCCGCGTAGCGGCACTTTCACACACACGACAGAAAGAACAGCCGACAGACGAGCTGGGCATCAGACAAACACAATCTTTCAGGCTTAACGTCTCACGGACCGGTGTTTGCTGAGATGTGGCAAGATTTTTCCGCCCACAACACCCAGCGTGGGGATGTAACGGCAGTTGTATGGGGCGCCCCAGGTGCACGTCCAGCAACAGGCGAAAGTACTGCTACCGTCCGCCCGTCATCTGCCGCAGGGGCTGTGGATGCCGAGGCCTTAACTCGAGGCAGAAGAGCTGATACCCCATTCATTCAACAGTGCGATCTTGTGTTCCCGCTTCCGGATCAAGATGGCGAGAGCGACGGCCATGACCATGGCGATACGCAAGAGAGGCAACAAGTGAGAGGCGGGCAAGTTGGGAAACATGATCGACCGCATACCCGTCATCGGGGATATGGAACAGCTGTCACGGCAGTAGTAGCTCAGAAATCAGGCAGGGTTTGGCAGGATAGTAAGCATAGTTAAATTTCTCTTTTTGCAATTTCGGCTGCAACCCCTGTCCCTTCTATGTCGTACTTTTTCCGGAGGACACCACACAAACAGCAGTAGCAGTGATTGACAGGGAAACATGGGGAGGGCAAATAGGCAGCGACAGACGACCGACCCATCCCTCTGTTGCCTGCGGCCTCCACCTCCGAACAGCCACACCCCGAACGACAACGTGTACGAGCATGAGTCGGCCGGGTTATGGGCAACACCTACTGCCCCACGGCGGCCTGGCCGTTGACGGGTGTTACACCTGCATTGACAATTGCGCTTTCCACGCCTGACACGCCCACATCTCCCCCCCCCCCGAACCTTACCGTACGAAATGTTCCCTTCTACGAAGAAACGACTGGAGATGGAGGAACGGGCAAAAGCTTTCGTCGTCCGAGCCCTGGGCAAGACGTTTTATTACCGCGCGCGAGGACCGCTGTCCGTCCTCCTCAGAGAACGCTTCCTCGACTCCTACGTCCTCAAGGGGGGTTTCAGCGCCCTCGCTCTCAACGCCCCAAGCGACCACGGTAACAGCTTCGCGATCCTGCCAGGCGGCGTGCTGGTGCTGTCGCTTGATCGGGAGTCCTTTCAGGCAAGCATATCGGGGTTCCGCATTTGTTTGCTGTCTCATTGCATATTGTACATTCCGCGAACTTTCTCAGCATATTGTTCTCAGCAAAGTGAAGCTGCTTCCAGCTCCCAGTTCACCACACCCCCAATCTCCCGAAATCGCTCCGTCGTGATGGACTGCCTTTGACGCAATGGTTCCTCTTCCGTGCTGCTGCAGACGCTAGGCCTACCGGGAGAGGCCGCGGCCACCCGCCCCAACGGCAAGGGGAAACGGGCGGGTGCCGGCGCCGGCAGCACCGGCGGCAGCGTGGGGGTCCTGGGAGGCAGCGCGGGCGGCCCCGACCGCTACGTGTCGGCGGTCGACCTCTCCGCGAAATCGTTTCGCCCGGGTAAGCCACTCCACGACCGCGTCTTGTCCTGTCTTAGCAGTTGTCGATGGGGGAGCGGGGATGACGGTGCTGCGGTCGATATGGTTGTGCATTGGTGTGGAAGTGGTGGAGTCGGGCAAGGAAGCGGGGAGGGCGGGGAACTGGCTGAAGCGGAGTCCTCAGGAACGAGCGAGGCGTCGGGACAAGCACCGGAGGGTTGTGGACAGGGCGCGGCGGCGGTGGGTAGAAGACCGAAGGGGGAGTGCGCGGAGGGCAAGCAAGAAGGACAGCAATCGCAACAGTGCTGCCGAGATATCACCTTCCCTCCAGGTTTCTCTGCTGAAAGGGTCGACCTAACGCCCGACATCCGATTCTTCAGGGAAGCCTGCTGCCCAGATTTGGACTTTGTCGGGCAAGGGCTGGCCGCCACGGCCCCTACTACGGTACAGCGGGCGCGTCGAAAAGGGAGGAAAGGGATCGAAGCCACGGCTTTCAATTCCACATCCACGGCCGAGAACTTGGTGGACGGCAGCGACGACGGCGGCAGCGACGACCACTTCACCGACAGACGACATCCTCGCCTTCCCCCGCCCGTTGCCTCTCAGCCGGAATCAGCCAAATGTCTGCTCGTTCTCGACATGTTCGAGTGGCTTGGCGCGGTGTCATGCGGCCTGGACGCCGCGGTAAGGCGGTCACCGTCCCCGCCGGAGCCCTACCTGTCCAAGTTCGAGACGCCCCGCCACCTCCGCTACCGCAGGGACCGCGTCGTGTGCCGCGCCCGCCTGAGGGGCTTCCTGCCGCCCGTCGCCGTCTCCCGCTTTGTCGACGCGGCGGGATCGGCAGCGGCGGGGGTGGCGGCGTTAGCAAGCGCCGAAGATAGTGCCGCAGACGGCCGGCAACACTACGAATCGCCGCAGCTGTTGCCAGTGCGGCGCGTGGTTCGAGATCAAGGACAGCAGCGGCCCGACGGCTGCTCGTGGGGCGCCGTGACGTCGTGGCCGTTCCGAGACGCCCCCCGCGCGTACCCCGGGGCCGACGCCCCGTGCGCTGGCGGGCAGAGGAGCAAGCGGGGCGCCCGAAAGGGGCGCGGCGGGGGAGGGAGCGAGGAGCGATGTGCGAAAGAGTGGCCCGTCGGGGGGCACGGGGTGTACACGGTTGTCGCTTGTCCCGGGGAAACCGCTGTGGCGTTCGTTTCGGCCAAGTGTCCCGGCCCCGGGTGGTGACAGAAGTTCACGTGTAAAACTGATCCATCCTTGGTTGACGCAGCAGTCAATGACAGGTCGATGCAAGCGCCGAAAGACAACGGGGAAGAGTCTTTGGTGCTGCTCTCGGCAGCGCTTTGATTAGCCTGACGGAGTCAAGAAAATAGAGTCATTTTGCTATATGTGTCAGGGTTGGTTTCTGGGCCACTCTGCGGTATTGATAAAGACCAACGCAGAGCGAACAACTCTGAGTCCGACCTGGCGTCGAAGGGCAGCCGGGCGTTCAGCCGTGTTGTTGTATGGATCCTCCTCTGGTTGTATGTGTTGAGGGGTGCGCCCGTTGGTCTGTCTGTCCGTAGCCACTTATCGCCAATTATGTTAGACGAGGCAGCAGGGACAGAAATGAGCCGGTGATCATAGGCTATGTTGAAAGTTGTCCGGGGTGTGTTTTGTACTGATGGCCTTGGGGAACACAAAGAGCTAGCTTTCACCGCGTGCACTGCCGAAATTTGCTCAAGACGTGCATAGGGTGGTTGAGCTGCGGTATTCTAGTATCTGCGCGATCGCGTTGAATGAGAGAGGCCGCCTCATTGTTTTGTGCATTAGACGTCGCATTTTGACCTCAGGTAGGGCACCTCCAGAGAAAGAGGGTGCGGACCTTCAGTGGAAACAAACTGCGACTCGAAAGCGAACCCGGACAGCAGTTGCTCCCATGGTACTGTACGTGCTAAAACTTGATGAACCCGAGGCGTGTAGATTTGCCCTTGGGGTGTGCGGTTTTGGGAGTAACAGACGCTTTGCTCAACATCAGTGGGGGTAAGGTGCTCATCAGACGAGGTGATTTCGCAATACACCACTGTTGCTCACACTCCGGGTGGAGTTGCTGATCGAACGGCAGACTGTGGCGTCCTTTGGCGAGCACGGCGGCAACGCGAGTCGGCGCAGGGGGGAATGCTTGAGTGCGGTGGAGAGTGACAACCCTGCGCCCTTCATGTCGTTAGGTTGATTTCCCATTTTTGTTATTTTCGTACAACACGAAAGACAGCATCCATGACATCTAACCCAACAACCTCGTCGAAACGGTCGACTCACTTCACCCTTTTCTCTACCCATTCCTCAAACATCCAACACTGTCCACGGAAACACGCCAGAATAATGTTTTAAGCCTACACATCCTAATCACAGTCCACCCACACTATGCCATGAACCGGCCACGCGCCCGGTTACCCTCATCGGAGAGCTAGGAAAACAAAACACAACCGCACAACACACACCGATTTGCCCATACTCCCGTTGTCTCCTGACTCAAGACGTCAGTATCTCCACCCATTCCACCCTGATGCACGCAGGGATGGCGCGCATTCCATGTGCTCGCCTACTATCCGCACGCTCAAGCCGTCCGTTTTACACCTCATGAAGGCGGACCGCATCAGCCCAAGTGACTGCTGTACCAGACGCCTCCCCGATTTCTGGCGTCGAGGAATACTCTTGCCGGGGGAGGGGGTCTGCATCTGACGAGGATGGTGACGGGGATACACAACATTAGCTCGGCGCGTGATTTAACGCTCAAAGCCAGCTGGGCAACTACTCAAAGCCAGCCGGTGGAATTAGCTTGCAGCCACAAGGAAAGCTTGCTAAAAACGCCGCCGTCTTCCATACGAAGCACCTAACGGCACTCCAACAGCCACCCCTAAAGCGCCATCGCCGTCTACAGCGGATCGGTAACGCCATCCCTCCTCCCTCCCTCGCCGGCATCGTTATCGCTGCCGCTTCCACTGCTGCTGCTGCTGCTACTGCTGCTGCTGCCGCGCCCCCCGCCACTGCCGCCGTTTGTGACAACAACGTCCATTTTTCCAGCAGCAGCAATAGCCGCCGCCGCCGGCGCGCCTTTATCGTCACCGTTTGTGGCGTCATCGCTGTCGCCCGCTCCGCCGGCACGCTCTTCTTGCCGTCTTCTCTTCTTGCTCTGTTTGGTTAACTGTAACGGAGTGCGCAAGACGAGCCGCGGTGATTCACGCGTCAGACGGCGGCGGTCACTGGTTGGTCCGGCATCGCTTCGACACAGGAGCCCGGACCTCAAGCGGGCAGGGCGACGTGAAGGGCGGCCAAGTACTATCGGTGCAGTCTCTCAAGTGCCCTGCACCCTTGAGAACGTGCCCCTCTACCGTCGTGGGGTGTACTGAAAGTCGAACAATAGACGTGAGAAAAATGATGGTATTTCAACGCTACTTCCCCTTCACGTTTCACAGACCTACAAACTTTTGGTATTTCATCGCCCTTCACCCCCTATATCATTCGCAGGGCAATATCTTTCGACATCCGAAGCAGAATTCCAGCCCGCGCAAGCCTACGTTGGGATCAACACACTTGGGACACGATGGACGATTAGTCCCCTCACGCACAACTGCCACGGTCGCTTCTTTCTAACCACGCTTTCGACCCTTGTTCTACTCCTTCCTGCTTGGCTGCCGTCCCCATCGTCACTTGGCATCGCTTCTAGACCACCCTACGCCCCCTCCTCGTCGTCACAGCAGGCCCCATAGCTGTCCGACCGCGGGCCATCCTGCCTCACCTTCTTGTCGCTCCGGCGCCGCTCCTTGCGCTCCTTCTTCCTTTCCTTCCTGTCCGACTTATCCTTTTTCTTCTCAGACGAGGATTTTTCCTTGCCGTTACTGCCGCCGCTGCGATGGCGGCGCTCCTTCTTCTTATCCTTCCTACGTCTCTTCCTGTCGGCTCTGCTCCCCTCCTCGCTGTCGCTACCGTCGCTCCCGCTCGAGCTTCCCTCGTCGTCGCCGCTCCCCCTGTGCTTCCTCTTCTTGTCCTTGCGGCTCTTGCGCTTCTTGTCCTTGCTCTTTCTGCCGCCTTTGGCTCGCCCTTTCCCGTCGTCGGAATCGGAGTCGTTGCCGTCGTCGTCGCTGTCTAGCATGGTGTGGACGAGGTGCCCACCCAGCCTAGACTTGGCCGCCTGCCGCTGCTGCTTGCTGGAGAGCTTGTTCCCCCTTCGCTCGGCGCGGTCGCGCGCCTTGGACACGCTTGCTTTGTAGATCTCCTGCTCATCTCGAAGACGTAAACCATTGTTGGGGGTTTTCCCAGAGTGAAAACGAGTAGGAAAGGGGGCCGGGGAGGGACGGTGAGAAGAAAAAAAGGACTCTTTGGCTTCCTCAACCAATGTGACATAGCGGCACTCGATATTCGCTGTTTATTTCAACGCGCAGCATGGTAGAGAAGCAGCCCTGTGCGGCATGGAGAGGTCTCCGGGGAGCGAGAAGACAAACGTTGTATGCACATGAGGCGGGGGAATGACTGAGACTTCGGGTCGATGCAATATATGCATACGAGCGCGAGCAATCGATCGCAGACCCTCTTACTGTTGATCTTTTTGGTCGGATAACAAATCGCGCCTTGGAGGAATTTTCTGGTGTCCATTTTTTATTTACTTTATTTGTTAGAAAGGTGTACCCTTCCCCCCGACGGGAGGCAGTTGGCTTGTGACCACGGAAGGCGTCCGCGTCAGTTGGACCAATACGGACATTAAAAAGGTACTGAGTAGAGACCGGAACTGGTTATTAATATGAAAAAAACAACAACAACAACAACAGCCCCCGAGACCGCATTTTACAGCAAAACTGCTCCACAAATCAAGCGGCCGCCAACGTGGAAAATAGTCGCTCTGCAGAGATCTCGTGGAGAAATTTCCTTCATTGTGTCGGGTAGTTGTTTGTGCCGTTTTGCGGAGAAATCGAGTTGTGCAAGTGAGTCTGCAGGCAGTAGGTGTTGAGCGCTTCACTCGAACGTACGGTAGACGGGCAGCGCGGCTATTCCTCACTAATAGGACTCTCTGGAGCGCTAGATCACCCATACAGCCTTCACAAGCAAGAACACACAAAATGATTCAGCTGTTGCTTAAAATATGGTTCAACGCAGCCCTAGTGGGCTAACTTTCAAGCGACCATTGTCCATAGTACTCTCCCGTGCTGGACGTCGGAACATTTTTTTACAACTAATAATAGGTGTGCGTTTGGATGCCGCATTTGAGAACTTCTCATTCTTATGTGCGCAAAGCGAGCGGCGGTAGTACCGAGAATCAACACCTGGACGTCTGTGTTAGTATACTTCGCGATTTCGCCCCGCAGTCTCGGGGCAGAGCGCGGATGCCAAGAGCAGGAGTTGACCAGAGGCGACGTGGGCGCGCCACGACGAGGACTCTACCGTCTCAACAAATACCTGACGATGAGATAACACCAGCAGGAGCAGAGCAGAGCCCCCCAAGCACTACACCACGCCCCGACAGGGCGTCACAACTACATATCCCTTCGTCCTCATACCTGGTCTCCTGCGTTGGCGCCTCGCGCTGCGGCCTCCAGCTTGTCGAGTTGAGCTGTCACCACGCGGTCGAACAGCCTCTGCTGGGCGGCCTTGGGGTCAACCATCTTGGACTTGAGGAGGAGCTCGCGCTTGCCGTGATCCTGCAGCTTGTGCCTCTGGCACTGCCCCACGAAGCAGTGAGGGCACTGAGACATGACGTCGGCGCTGGCGGTGGGGTGTTATATATTTTGTTTCGAGCGAGACGCCCTCACGTGGCAGCGTGTCGGTTTGCTGGAAAGAGTGGATGAGTGTGCATTAATTTTCTCACTGGCGCCGAAATATAGGCGGGGGGGTGGCATTACTGCATTCGTCGTGCCCCCCGGCACCGAGTAGTATTTTCAACTGCAGGCACCGCACTCGCACAGCTGAGACAACTGTGTGTGTGACGCCAAGCAAAGACGATGCGGGGAGCCATCGAGGACAAGCGATCTCCGGGGGGTATCAGGGGTGGGGGAGGAGCCATGGACGCCGGCGGCGGCGCCGGTCCCGGGAAGCGAGGAGACGCTTGCCTGGCCGAGATTCAGAGGCTCGAGAAAAACAGGGCCAACAGGAGGAATCGGATGGAGAAAGCCAGGTAAATTGTTTGGAAATGAAACAGCATTAGTGGGATGGACGCGCCGCCAAAATCGTTTTCTGCGTTTTCGTTGCGGTTGTACAGCCTTTCCCACTGGCGCATTGGTCACCTTAGGCAGAGGGCGGGGCGTGCGGTCTTGATCTTGTTCGCAGCAGTCAGATTCGGTCCCCACCGTCTTTCCCAGCAGCAGTGTTTTTCGGCAAACAGACGTACCAGGTGTGCTGCCTGCTCTGCCGCCTCTGGCTTTGCCCGTTTCCAGTTGATGTTCTGTGCAGGCGACGATCCAAACGGCACCTTAGTTACCAACAACCTTGTAGTATTCCTCCATCTACACTTTCCCCGGTGCATCATAACCTTGGCAAAGCCATGTCGGCATGTTTGGTGTAATGAGGGTGTGTGTGCTGCTCTCAATATGGTTGTACACAGCAGTGTATGCGTCCCGCTGCGTGCGGAGATTGATTGTCCTCAACGGTCGCTCTCTTTTTTTTTTTTTTTGCCACAGCCGTATTTTATTTTCCCTCCCTCTGCTCACCTTCCCACTGCCCTTTGCGCGGCGCACACCAGCAGAAAAGGGACCAAGGTTCGCCCGTATTATGAGATGCATTGATGCATTCAGCTGCCGTTCGATGCAGGCTTTGGTTTTCTTAGCCCGCGGATCAAGCTCACCCCCTACATCCTCCTCTTAATTCGAGTACAAAACGTCGCATGTTTAGCGTCGTTACCACACTCGTTCACAACATTAGCCATGACACCACACACTGCCGTGCGTGGATCCTGCCCTCACAGCAGTGCAATGTGCGGGAACCCCTTGCTGTGCGGAGCGAGCACCGATGATGCAATCGTGACAGTCGGTTTTGTGCCTTGCGTGCACATGGCCAAGACCCGGCAGTTAGGGGTTGGTCGGTCATGCTCAGTGCACATGTGGTGTTTCTTGGAGAGCGGCGAGCGTGCCCTGGGGGGGGCTTGGAGAGTGGTTAGGGTTCGGGTTAGAAGGCCAGCAACGGCGCCTGCTGCTGTCGTGTGCATGCTCCTGTTGTCCTCTTTCCGCCATGTCTGTTGTGTACCATATTCCGGAGCTCTGTACAAGTCTCCAACACCGTTAGTTGTTCTGCTGTATCCAATAGCAGTAAGCGCCACCACTCCAGAACTCCTACAAGTACACGTACACTGCGTGCACTTGCACGAGGCTCGTTTCTCGCCCTTTTCTCCTTTCTCCCTCTGGGATGTAACACATTGGCGACTTCACGTAGGTTTAAGTGTAGGGTTCTTAACTGAGCACCTGTTGCTATTAGTAGGTAAACTTCTTATTAAAGAGTTCTCTTTCTCTGAGCTTGAGGGTCTTTACTTGTGTATCTCTCCAAATTAAGCGGTGGCGCCTGTCGTAGTCTCATTAAACACGCACGGTCTTCGAACACCTCCTGTAGCCTCTTCTGCTCTCACATGTTGGTTTCTTTGAATACGCAGGGGCCCGCTTATACCTTCGTGGGCACCGCCAGTATGGAGGTTTCAAAGGAAAAACACAGCTTTTTTTCTCTGCCCCGCACTAGGTCGAGACCGCGTGCGGAATGGATTAAGGAGTATCAACAACCCTACCCCCACCATGCGGCAGCTAGATAACATGGCGCGAAACGTGCCGAATTATTCCGGCTCTGGCTGCCTGTAGTCGCCCGAGTATTGGCCGTGGCAGCCACGATGGCTTTTACTCAACTGTACGCAAGTTTTTTTAGGGGAAGTCTGTTCCACTCGTCCATACGTGTGTGGTGCGCGCTTGGTGCCATGGGGCAATGTCGGCGAAGCCTCCAGCGTCCTAAGGCCTACGTTCACTGGTTTGTCTCATATGCGTATGCATGTATCGTTGTTTTTTGGTCTTCGATCGCCGATTCTTGCAGAGCCGCCCCCATCGTAACTTACTGCCGTACAAGCTACAAATTTCCGAGATAGCCTGCTGTACACGTTGTAGCGCGACCCCAGCTGCCGAGCGCAGTTTCCTGCGGCATTTCGCTTGCTTTTTTGACATGAAAGGCTCGAGTTCAATTGAAGATATTTCTTAGTAACAGCACTGCTGTATCTTCCGAACATCCTGTGCCCGCAGCTGAGATCCCGGTTCACGCGGAAAAGGTCGTACTGCCGAGCATTTTGTAGTTGTGTGCTGAGTGCTTCAGGACGGATGTAGCTTGTGACGTCGATGGAAGGAAGTCAACCATTTTCCATCAGTAGACCCGCCACCTTTCCCTTTGCAGCATCTTGTTTCTGGGGCATCCGGTAGCCCGCACCTCTGCATACCGTAGCAATCTCGCCTTGTACTGTACAATCTCCTGTCAGCATGTTGGGAGGCAACGACGGCACGATCGGTGTATCCGATTGCGGCGGGAGCTACCCAAGTGGGTGTGCAGTGACCCTTGACTTTTTTGTTTGCGGCTAGAGAATACAATTCAGTCTTTCAATATGGCCGTCGCCCGGTGCGGAGTGATTTCCCCTCGTTGCGTAGGCTGAAAGCGATTACCTATGTTGTGTTGCGTGTTGGACCGTTCCACAAGAGTTCTTCGACGCAGGGGGTACCGTTTGTACGTCGTGGAGGCTACGTGTCAACAGACGCGCCCGCGTCAGTGGTGTGACGGCGATGACGTCTGCAGCTACGACAAGTACGTCTGCAGACGCTTTGCGTTCAAGCAGCAATAGCGCCCGTCACATTTGCCCGCAAGCCGCGACATCATATTTTTTTCAATTCATCCCTATTATTTTACTGTTTAATACCCCTTCCAGTAGCATCCCCTGGTACTACTGCATTCTCGACCCCCCTTTGCAATGCGATACATGCAAGTAGGGAGAAACGGCTACGCTTCGGCATGCTTGTTCTTGCTACCCCCTCCCCGTCATGTATTTCCAGGAAGGACCGGGTGGCGGAGGAGGCACGGAACATCGCGAACGGTAATCCTGGCGATGTCGACTTCATGGGAATGATCCAGGCGTTTCGAGACCAGAGGTGCGTGAAGCAAGAAATGGATTCGAAGATTGGCGACGTGCAAAGAATGCGGGGGCAGAGAGAGAGAGGAGAGGGAGGGGAGAGGCAGAGAGCAACAGACAGAGAGACAGGCAGAGGCCGCGACAGAAACTAAGCGACACAAACAAGGTTTCAATGGGGATATGTAGGTTCGGCGCAAAGGTAGTCTGAAAATGTCAGCAGGGATTTGGAAAATTGAGCAAAAACCTGCGCGGCTATTAACCTGGCTCGATGTGGCGGTACGGGGAATCGTGGTGTCGCTATTGGTCCCCTTCTCGCCAGAAAGCAGTCTTGGAAAGGCATTGGACACAAATGGTCGTCCCTGCGCCATACCCGCGCTGAATGGGCCAGCGCGTTGATCGCTGACTTAAGCATTTTTTCGGTAGCAGGCCACGTTTCATTTACCGTGTGTTTGAGCTACTTTGTGTAATGTAGGCAGAAAATGATGGAACGAAAAGTGGCAGCGAGGATGATTTCCTTGTACCATTTTGTGCTCCTGGTGTTTCTTGTTAACTCATTTTCCACTGATGAACGGGTAGGGTCGGGACGTCGGTGGGGCACGCTCCCGCTCGCGAAGGGATGAAGATCTGCATCGCCATTCGGAAGCGACCGACCAACTCGAAGGAGGTGAGAGAGAAACAGAAACAGAATAATAAGCATCCAGAGAGATGTAAAGGTGGCAGAGAGGGCGGAGGAGGGAGTGAGAGAGAGACAGAGATCGAGGACAGAGACAGAGACAGGCATAGACGGAGGTACGAGAGGCATGAGGAGAGAGAGAGTAGGCAGAGACCGGAGGGCTGCAAACAAACACACGAACACGCAGGGCGAAAACACGGAGACACAGGCAGTCACTTAGTCTCTGGCAGAGATACACAAAGTGGGTATCGAGAACACGTACGTTTTTTTTTTTCGTTGTGTGTGTGTTTTTTCTTTTTTCAGCGGGCAAGGAAGGACCACGACGCTGTCTCGTGCTTCAACCCCGAGGTCACCGTGCACGACTGCAAGCTGCGGGTGGACGGGATCAGCAAGTACCTGGACAGCGTCGGGTTCCGGTTCGACCACGCCTTCGGGGAAGACGTGCCCAACCAGCTGGTCAGTCAAGACAACCGAGCAGCAACAAAATATCGACTTTTTTTTTTTAAGCGCGTCTTTTTGTCGTACCCAGAAGAGAAAGGAGAGATATATGCTCACGAGGGAGAGAGGGAGAGAGAGAGAGAGAGAGAGAGAGAGAGAGAGAGAGA